TCTATCTATCTATCTATCTATCTATCTATCTATCTATCTATCTATCTGTCTCTCTGTGTGTGTGTGTATATATATATATATTTTATTTTTGTATATGTATGTTGATTTTTTTCTATGTGGTGTTTTGCAGGAAAGTGACCCTGCAGAAATATTTGGGGAAAGATAAGAAGACTTTGTTGGTGTTAATCCGTCAGTTCTCCTGCCTGCTCTGCCGCTTACATATAAAAGATCTGGACAGGAATCAGGTATACAAAAACTAAATTTGTGGTCCTAACCATTCTGCTGATGCCGGACTCTGTTGTTCCAAAACGCCTTGTTTCCAAAAAAAGGCTTCAATCAAAACGGAGGCAGGGCCACTGGCTCGGCCGAGAACTCATATGGCCTTTTACACGCAAAAACCCAAAACAATGCATTTCCAATTAATAAGTGTCTTGATTTAAATGGACTTTGAGACAAGCTTTCCTGGAAATGCTTGTGTAAGCGTGTGTTACATTGTGCTCTGTGCTATAGGTTCATGATTAATTCCTGGTACGTTAGCTGTTTTCATCCGCACCGCAGTCAGCTCCAGCTCGGAAAGTTTAGAGTTCAGCCAACTCCCACTCCTTCTGTGGCTGTTATTTTCAGCAGTCATCTGACCAGATTATCAATGGAGGTTAATTCTCTTTAAGACATACGGTCAGCTGAGGCTGTGCAGTTTGACTTTCCGAATAAGTGGCTATCAATTCCAAATTATGACAGTGTTTTACATTTGACATTTTGACACTGTTTTGCAGAGCTCCCTGGATGCCCTCTCAGTACAAGTGGTGCTTGTTTCGTTCGGCTGTCAGGAGGGAGCCTCGCATTGGCTGCAGGACATTGGCTGCCAGTACGACATGCTGTTAGACCCAGATAGAAAGGTCCGTAGTCTCCAACAGCCTGCAGGAGACACGTTTAATTCTCTCTCTCGAGTTGGTATATAAAACTCTGCGCAGTCTTTTTGCAGATTTACGCTGCGTTCGGTCTGGGAGCCTCGGTGAAGAAAGTGTTAAACTTCGGTAACATGCTTCTCTACGCTGAATATGTAGCAGACAACATGGAGTTTCCACGAGGACTTCCGTCAATTCAGGACGACATGTTTCAGGTTAATTCTCACAGCAATCTGCCTTGGCTTAGGGCATGTGTAGTTACCAGACCGTAAAACAATATATCCCAAAGGATAGAAACCCTTTAGATACAAGGCCATTGCCAAAAAAAGATGGAAACGTTGTCTAAGATCCAAATAACAGCAGAATGCAATTATTTGCAAATACAATAGCAAAGTAAAATATGCAAAATTTGGAGCTGAAACCTGCATTTTTGGAGGACAGAATATACTGTGTTCAGAGGCAATAATCTTGAAAGGACTTGGTGAACCCATTTCTCTAGATTGGAATGTTCCAAATCTGTACAATTTTGAAAACTCTAAGTAACACAGCTACCACAAAAAATCTATCTATCTGGAAATGTTTCCCTTTTGTTTTTCACTGATACTGAAATGCTTTTCATGTTCTCACTTGGGATGATGAGATATTAATATTCTTGATATTGTCACCTCCTTTGATCTTTTGAACCAGTTGGGTGGCGACTTTCTTTTGGACAAACATGGGAGGGTGCTGTTCTCTCACTCCTGCCAGAGTCCGTTAGACCGACCCTCGGTGGAGGACATTTTGTCTGCCCAGTGACACTCCTCCATGCGCAACAGAGATGGAGCACAAAATCATGTGGAATCAGCTCATTAGTTTATTGCCAAGCTGTGAAATGGTTAATGTTTGACCCACTGTTTTAAATTTGCGGGATTGAGATGCAAGATTGATGCAAATGCTCTTTTTTTTAAAGTTTGAAAACTTCTTAAACTGTATCTTACATGTGCATCATATTTTATCAAACACACGGTAATGTAAAAAACAATTAAAACTACACATCTCTTTTAAATCCATAATGTATTCCAGTATTTTTCAGTTGAAATGGTTTAGCATGTCTCAGTTGAGTAATATTTTCCTAGTGGGTTTTACTGCCAAAAGAGATACAGAATAAACAAATTAGGCAAAAAAGACACATCCAGTTAGGCTATAACAAGATGGTGTCATTTTGTAGGTATTTCCTAGAAGGTTGGATTATGCTTATAAGTGTTTCGTTCAGCCAACAATCTCACAGAGAAACATTTTGTCTACAGATGCTGCAATAAATCAGTAATTATAAGTGCAAAAATTGCTGCTACATAGTTTGACCCACTGACTTTCCCATGACTTCTTTAGAAGAACAAACTATGCCCATCTTTGTGTCGGCAGTTTGATAACGAAAAAATAATAACCCAGAAAGGAAAATTGTATCTATAAAGTCCATAGATTTAGATATACAGATACATACATGCTTGTATTTAGCTCCTATATGTTTAAAAGCCCAGTAACCTGTGTAGCAGTGCGTTCCCCCTCTCTGAGATAGTCCAACTTGGGTTAATGTTAATGTGTTGTTATATAATCAGTGACAAAAACTGGTGTACACCTACTGATGAAATGCATAAATTGATCAGCGGAGCTCAGACAGGGACGTTTATCAGTTTTATTGACTGGGATAAATGCACTGTCAAGACTGAGGGAGCTAACCAGCCCTCTGCGCTCTTTTAGAAAAGCCTGAGGCGCATGCTCTTTGATTCCGATGCACTTTTAATGGCATAATAAGCTTACTTAATTCCTAAAAAGATGACCTGTAAACCTCGGAGTCGGAAAGAAAGAGGGACTTTGATCAACAATCGGAGCTCTTGTGTCTTTAAAAAAAGTGACTCTTCTTACACATTGTCAGAGTGCTGCAGCCTGAATTAGATTCTTCACTTTCTAGACTTAGACTTGGACTTGTACTTTATTGATCCCTTGGGAAGACTCCCTCAGGAAATTAAAGTTACCAGCAGCTCTTGATAATCAAGTGAGATGGCAAATGTAGACCGACTCATCCAGCACATAGGAGACTTTGGGCCTTTCCAGAGGAGGATTTACACACTTGGATCTTTTCCCTTGGTGATTTTTGCTTTTGTGCTCGTGGGAGTGGTTTTCTTAGGGCACAGTCCGGAGCACTGGTGTTGGAGCCCGGAGTCTGAGAGCCTGCAGGAAGAATGTGGCTGGACGGAGGTGAAGGTGCGAGAAGTGACCGCTCCCCACTCTGAGGAGTCCGGATCCCACAGCCGCTGTGAGAAGTTTGCGGCGGACTGGAGCACAAGCCAGATCAAATGTGATGAATGGGAGTTTTTGTCCAACGCTACCCAGACAGTCCCCTGTGAGGGCAGATGGATGTTTGATAAAAGCCGAAGCACCACTGTAACTGAGGTTGGTTCATATGTAAAAAAAGAAAGAATAAATAAATACATAAAACAAGCTCTATAAGTTTGGAATAAGAGTTAGTTATCACTCTAAAGGCAAAAGAATATAATCGACCATAATTGTGCTGTTTTTTTTTTGTCATTTAAATCTCCTCTCCCCTAGTTTTCCTTGTTCTGTGAAAGGTCCTGGCTTGCGGACCTAAATCAGGTTTTTCTCGCGTTGGGATTTTTCCTTGGATCTTTTGTGACTGGCTATCTGGCTGATAGGTTTGTCGTGCATCATAAAACAAGAACGAGTTTCCTCGTGCAATGTTGAACGAACTGAATGGTGCTATTGGTTCTTTTCACAGGTTTGGTAGAAAGCCATGTTTCATAGCCTCAATGCTCGGTCTGGGAATTTCAGGCGTCGGAGTCATGCTGTCCCCCTGGTATCCACTGCTGCTTTTTTTACGATTCTTACAGGGTTTTTGCGGCAAGGGGGCATGGACGGCTAACTATGTACTAGGTATGTTCAAATAAAAGGGCAAATACGATGCGAAGGAGAATACAAAGCTATTTTCAAGCCACGTTGATGGACAAACATGTTGTTTACATGTAGGTTAAGCCTGTTATTCATCCTAGAGATGAATTTCAAATGGAGCCAAATAGAGTCAATAATGCATGACCAAAAGCCATAACTTATCAAAGACAACTCATAAAATGCCCAGTGTGCTTTTTCTTTTAGATCGGTTTATTTTTCTGTCAGCTTAAATTCTTATCATTCACAGTAATTGAGTTCTTTGGAGCAGACAACCGGAAATTTGTGTCCATGGTGTGTCGAACCTTTTACTCAATGGGGATGGTCATTCTGCCTGGTCTGGCTTACTTAATCTCTTCTTGGAGGATTTTGCAGCTGGCCATGAGCCTTCCTTGCTTTTTGTTTATTTTGTACTACTGGTATGGATCTTATCAAATTCTCATCCAAAACGAATGACCGAAGCCCAGTTTTTTATAAAACTTTTCTTAATGGGGACTTTGTTATTGAAGGCTGGTCCCAGAATCTCCACGCTGGCTGTTTTCACAAAAAAGAATAACGGAGGCCATGAAAGTTGCCGAGGAAATTGCAGTATGTAACGGAAGATGTTTACCACATGATCTTCCCGAGGTAGAACCACATCTGCTGAACAGAAAATACACATTCGCTTTAAAGAATCCAATCAATCAAATATCAATATGATATTTTTCAGATCATTCTTTTGGAGGAAAAGAAGGAAGTGCAGCCCGTGTCATTTAAGGATTTGTTTAGGACACCAACCATAAGAAAAAACACAGTCATTCTAACATATGCCTGGTGAGTCACTTTACAAGGTTTTGGAGATTTGATGTGGTTATTTCAAAAACCCTGAGCCACAACTCGGAAGTGGTGGTCATTTAAAAGAAGATGACCTGACACGGTGTTCCTTTAATACAGGTTTACGAGCACCGTTGTGTTTCAAGGCCTCGTTCTGCGGCTGGGGCTGACGGGCGACAACCTCTTCTTGGATTTCTTCATCTCCGCCGTGGCGGAGCTGCCCACCGGCCTCATCTTCTACCTGATGGTGGACCGAGTGGGCCGACGCTCCCTGATGGCCATCGCCAACTTCACCGGAGGCGTAGCCTGCCTGGTCGTCCCCTTCGTGTCCCCCGGTAAACCCCCCCCCCCCCAGCGCTTCGGAGGTCTGACGATGTTTGCTCAAAGTGGAGGCTGTTACCATTCTTTTGTCTTTTTCTTGCAGATTTTTCCTGGTTGAAAAAGTCGATTGCCATCATCGGGAGGCTCGCCGTCGCCATTGGTTTTGAGACTGTGAACTTTGCGAACACAGAGCTGTATCCGACACCTCTGAGGTGCAAAAACGTAGTGTTGATGCACGCAGGTGTTTTTCTTTGTGCTGTCGGAGACAGACGAGCTGTACTGGATTGGTATATTTCACAGACTCACAGGCAAATCTACTGTAGCAGTTTTGAATCAAATTAAAGCATAAAAATTCAATTTAAAAGTAATCTTTTTCGCCCATCTGAACTAACTGAATAACTGATAAAAACTTGACCTTCATTTCACAGATACAATTATGATATTACTGACTAAAATATTTAGACGTTATTGAATTGGGGGGAAAAAAAACTTGCCTTCCATCATCTTTTCCAAAGTTCCTTTGGCAACCTTGTTGTAAAACATCATAGAGTTAAGTTTAGGACAAATGGTAGGAGAAAATGTTTCACTATTTTTAAAAGTTTTTTTTCATTTTGAAGATTTGAATGATAGAAACAGTACTGTTACATAACATATTGTTACAGATATGTTCACCTGATGTGGTATTTGCCTGTTTTTGAGAAAAATAATCATGGCTATGGCTACTTTTAGAAAGATTAAGATATTATTGCTGGCTAGCTGTTTCCAGGAAACAACAAATGAATTTTACTGATTGAGTCTTCACAGATATGAAACCAGATACTTTCTGAGGTCAAATTTATTCCTAAAAAACTGTTCTCTCAGCTTTCTTCCTCTGGATGTCCAGCGCAGTATTTGTTGTCCTTTTTCTGTTGGTCAACCTCTACTCTGACCGTGGCAGTGTAGGCTATGAGTAAATCAGCCTGTACCCTACATCCACCTTTTGGCCACACTGTAGAACTGAAATGACTTGTTTTAAACAGCTTACTTTGAGCCGTGTCTAAATCATATTTCTTTTTTTTTTTCTTTTGACAGAAATTTGGGTGTGTCAGTATGCTCGTCTGCCAGTGATATTGGAGCAGTTGCAGCCCCATTCCTTCTCTACAGACTGGCCAGTATCTGGCAGGAGCTGCCTCTGATTCTTTATGGTAGAAATGTCCTTCATCTTAAGATCTTTGGAGCGACTCTCTAGAAATATATTGATAAATATCAATGAAATTTATATCCTTTGACTGATTGGAAAATGTGTTTCTCATTCCTTTAAGGTGTGATGTCGGTTCTGTACAGTGCTCTGGTGACACTGCTGCCCGAGATGAACGGCATTGCCCTGCCCGAGACCATAGAGGATGTGGAGAATATGCAAGGGTAAATCAGTTTTATGGTCCCATTCTGTGAGCTTATCGTGATTAAAACGTACAGCTGATAACACGCGCTGAAACACATTGATAATAATGAAAAAGAACCATGGATACAAACAACATATGTAACTTATTATCACGCAAAAATCCCTCATAAACTGAATAATGTAGCCACAACAAAACTAAAAGAAAGAGGAGGATGGCACGTCAGTACAACACATGATGTGTTATTCTTTAAGTGCAGCTTTAGGTAATTGCAAGTTGAATATTATATACTTATCCTCCATTTCTGTTTATTTGTGCTTTCTGACAGGCTGGCAGAGCGTTCAGTGGATACAAAAGGAAGCAGCTTGATTTGTGATGAAAGGCTGAAGCCTTGAAAAGCTGGGCTGTTGCTACATAATAAGGAGGTGCACAGTGTTCTGTTTGGTTTTACAGCCGAGAGCAGTGAAACTGCAGAGGAGCTGTAGTGGTTATTATTGCTTACTTGTGCTACACTACATTGTTTTGTGGTTTTCAAAGGCGAGAAATAGAGGTGTATTTTCTGAGGTGATCCATTACCCTATCCCCAAACGTTCAAAACGGAAAATGTACAATAAAATATATATTGTCACCTAATGCTACTTTGACTTCATGGCCATTAGGCTTGTTGACACATGGAAAAATATATTTTAGTTTAATATGTAGTTTCAGAGCTCTGTTTTTCAGTCTGTGACTATGCTGTATTTATCAGTAACTTGTTTTAAGAGTTGTCTTAAAACATGAATTTTTACTAATCCACACAGCTGTAGGTACTTTGCATTTCGTATTGTCAATAAATTCCATCAAAGAAGTTTGACACCGTGTTTTCCACGCCTCTCCTCTCCTAACCCATGCCCCAGAAACCGGTTTACTTAGAATGTGGAATGGTAATCGGAAAGCAAAACGAGACAAAAAACATCTCCGTAGCTTTAAAAGCACCTAACACCATTCCAGAGTTGAGGTATTTGTAAGAGGGCAAAAACGCAGACTACTTTGTTTCCTGAAAGTACTACCACTTCCTTGTGGGAATTGCTAGTCACTGACAGGCCAGATGGGAGATTTACCAATCCAGTAATTCCTGGATTTGAATCCATAGCCTGTCCACTTCGCCTCTTACCTGAAAACCTCTAAACGGAGGCATTGAACAGGTACCCTTATCATTCCCCAAGCCACCCCAACTCCCCCTGCATCTCTGAAGTTCTTACCCACCCCCCCTGGAGAGAAGACTGATATCAGCTGACTGGATTTGTGATTCCCCAAATGTTAAGCCAAATTAATTATTTGGGACAACAGATTAATAGACTATTTAGATTTCTACTGATCTTAACTTAACATTTCGTTGCACAAAAACAGACCATTCTTTCTCCAAGTACAAATGTTTGACATCAACAACTAGAACATTGTTTGCTTTCAGGGCTCACATGATCTGTACTCTACAGAGCTCGGAGGAATGTTAAATGTAGCTGATTGGCTTTAACCCCTCCGATTGTATCTTAGACGGATCATGGTTGCAAAAACCATAATGTCTTTTCCTTTTTATTTCTTCACATAGAAGATCTTTTTCACATATTTTAACATCCAGACAAGAAGACCCCTCATTGTTCAGATTGATGCTACACTGTATATCTAATTAAGGGTTTTTGTTGTCGGGCTTTTGTTTCTTTGTAGGTTTACAGCAAAAGCTTTAGAGCAGCCAACAAAAGCTGCCCCATATACATGGTACAGAATGAATGGGGAGACACAAATTGTGCTGAAAATGACTGGTATGCATGAGATGCTGGATCCCCTCATGCGTACAAATCTTTGTCGCGCTAGAGAGGAGGATGTTTTGACGTTGTTAAAAAAATACAGAGAAATTAACTAATTTGGGGATGGGCCCTTGTGGTTCTTTTGTCTGTGTCGCATTTGTGATCACTTTGGCCTGTTTGCTACATTCAACATAGCTCCACTGACCCGTTTAGTTTGGGTAGAGGGTCGTGGGGGCTGGCGGAGGGGATGAGGGTGTGGAGATAAAGTAAGCAATTATCTTTAAGGACTCACCAGACAGGACAGTGAGTTTATGATGACCTGGGAATAGATCGAGAAGGCCACGAACAGATGAAGCACGGATCGTAAGACCCTTTCTGTCGAACCGTAGTGTGTTTTCCTGTCAAGCAAAGAATAGAGAAAAGAAAAACCTGCTTGAAATTGACTGGTTTCATCTTGGGATGAAAATGCTGGAGAACAAAGAATTTGAGAAGTTATCCAAAGTCATCAGTCAGTGGAATAGCAACAGACTGGACCTGTTTGAAATTAGCCAACCTGATGAGGTGAGTTATCCTCTGACACCAGACAACACAGTTTATTCATCGTATACACACTTTTTAAAATTGTTTGACATTATCTCTCATAGAACTTGGAATTTTACGGTGTGATTCGCTTCTACTTTGAGGACCATGTAGAAGGAAATGTGGCCACTAAGTGCCTGCGTGTCTGCAGCAGCTCAACCACTCAAGAGGTCATCGAAACTCTGTCCGAGAAATTCCGGCCTGATATGAAAATGCTGACGACTAGTTATTCCCTCTATGAAATCCAGGCCAGTGAAGGTGAGCACCCATCCTCTGGTTGTGGCTGCTGCTTCCTTGTATGCGGAAATTATGCAAAAGTTGGCACTTTCTGAAATTGTCCATTCATATATATATATACATTTAAGCTAAACCAGAGCATGTGACTTATAACCTTAACCATGTTTTTCAAAACCTGACTTTAAGCATTTTTAGGTGGAACCACAACAGAAAATTAGAACGACATTGAAATCACTGCATCAGTTCAATGTTGTAAAGATTAGGCAAAATTGCAAAGAGGTTTTTGTTTTCTACCCGATTTGACATCTGAAAAAAATAATCCCAAACAGAGATACACTGACTAATCTGAATTGCTCTATGCGGTTTGATGAAATAAAGTCAGTGTATGCAGCTCTGTTCTGTCTATTTTGTGTTTTGCATGTGAAATAAGAACGCAAGTTGGAACTGGACGAGAGACCTTTGGTTGTACAAATGAACTGGAATTCAGAGAATTTAGAAGGACGTTTTGTGCTGAAGAAAGACAAGGAGAGTTTTGAGGTAAGCATATGTAGTATTGACTGATAAAAAGCAGGGAGAAGAGGCATGCTGCCTGACAACCATTTGATCATTTATAGTACAAATATCACATTAGTCTCGTGTGTAATCACATAGTGTGCTTCTGGTCTATTTATGTGTCGGGCAAATAAAGGAAAGCTGTCATGAGAAAGGAAAGGGAGGTGTTATTCAAACCTTCAAGAGGACGCTGTCACGCAAAGGAAAGCCAAAAGAGAAGAACAAAACCAATGCAGCAGATAAGTTATCAGAGGATGAAAACAGGTAAGAGGTTGTTTTTTTTTTTTATGCTGAATTACTGGTCACACACCTGCTGAATTTCTCTTTTTAAATTGAACGTCCAGATCAGCTGAAGATCTGATGAACAGTTCGTCCGACCTGGAGACAGCAAAGCACTGCAAGGAAAAGAGACAGCAGCAGTATTTTGAGAGTGAGTGACATTAGACAGATCTCTTTTTTGACCGGGACTTGATGATAATAAAAAAAAAAAGATTTCATTTGTATATTACTCCTCTTTTTCAGCTCCGCCTGGATTACCAATCGGAATACAGTTCTGTGATAATGGTGAGCGTGGATTAAAATAACATGGCATTATTTTCATGTAATCTTTTTCTTTCTTTACTTCAAGAAACATAAAACAAAAAGGAAAGAAAGGAGATTATAAGGCTTGACAGCAATCTGTGTTTCTGTCTCACCCCTCTCCTGCCCCCTACTGGTGTGTTTCATGGTAAAGCCGAGGAGCCCTTCCTGTCTGCAGTCATAAATTACACCAACAGTTCCACGGTTCATTTCAAGCTCTCACCTGCCTACAGCCTCTATGCTGCCGGTCGGTTTGCTCTGCGGCGCCATTATGGTCGAGGCCCTCCATCTTCTGGGCACAAACACGCGGTAACCTCCATCACAAACAAAATGGTGGCCATGACAGGGAAGGTCATCCAGGTAAGTTCACCTGGACAATTGCAACAACAGACATTTAGCATTAAACTGGGAAAAGTGGGAAAAAACCGAGAAAAGTCCACAATATAAATCTGAAAGAAGACTCTGAACTTATTGGCTGTCTGATCCCTTTGCCTCTACAGAGACAACGGGCCGTTGCCGGGGCTCTGGCCTTCTGGCTGGCCAATTCCTCTGAGCTGCTGAACTTCCTCAAACATGACAAAGACCTCAGCCCTCTCACACAGCAGGGCCAGCAGGAGCTGTCCCACCAGGTGCACAGGGCATACAGGTACGGAAGACAAACAGATCAGCAGACATCACTGCCTCATCCAGTACAGAACTCCTAAAGGCCCCAATCCTGCAAGACTCTCTAATGCAGTTTCCAAGTCCTGCTTTGTATATTTCAAGCATCTGTAGACGCATCATGTGCTTAAGGTTATATTTTTCATTTGATGGTGCTACTAATGTAGTTCTGTTTAGCATTGGATTCTTTGAACGCTGTTGGACAACATGTGGAATGGGGTGTGGCAATGTATTGCTGAAATCTGCACGGCCTTCATTGAAACTGATGTTTTTTTTTGTTCAGCCATTTTCTCCCTGTTTTTGGAAATGTTCAGTTTCACAAAACAGAAAATCCCAAATGTGACTTTGTTTTCGTTCTATTCCCAAAGCCTCCTGCTACAATGTATTCAGAGTGGGTTAAGGAAACATTTACCGACGTTTCTGATCGATCCCGAGCAGCACGGTGCCCTGCCTGCTGGAATAGGTGTGTCTTTGATTACACAAATGTAGAATCTTACAGCTAAAAAGCGAGCACCAAGAAGACTCAACCTTCTCTTTTTCTTTTTTCTTTTTTAACCTACGTTCGCAGAAATGGTGCTCAACACCTTAATGAACGCCATGTCTCTGTTGCGCCGCTGTCGGGTCAACCCAGCCTTCACCATCCAGCTCTTCTCCCAGCTTTTTCATTTCATCAGCGCGTGGCTCTTTAACCAGCTCATGAGCCCAGAGGCGAGCGCTGGAGGCCTGCGCTCCCACTACTGGGGATCCGCACTCCGCCAGAGGCTCACAGCCATTGAATCCTGGGCAGAGAGGCAGGGCTTGGAGCTGGCTGCCGACTGCCACCTGGGCCACATCATACAGGTGTGTATCCCCCCACAGGGGGCCTTATCGTAATAAATGGGGTCGGTTCTTACATTTTCCACCAATTTGCCGAACCCGATTAAGTGCTGACCTCTTCTTTTATTATCTGTACTTCTTTGTAAAAATACAACAGCCCTCCACTCTCATGTTTCTGACGGTCCACAATGTTGAAATAATCCTTTCTGGCTGTTTCTAGGCAACCACACTCCTGACCATGAATAAGTACTCGGTGCAGGACACCAAGGACATTCAGAGTACCTGTTTTAAGCTGAACTCCCTGCAGCTGCAGACGCTGCTGTCCAGCTACCTCTATGCAGCCAATGAGCCTCAAATTCCACCTGTGAGTACTTACCAGCCACTTGAAAAGCCATGCAAAATAATTTCACCATTTTCTTTTTGACATTTCAAAAAGGCAGCTTTAAGGGATCAACGCACCACCGACTGATGGAGCGGGGTTGGTATTTTGGGGAGGTTATTAGCCTCTGGGCCCTGACAGACGTAAGCTAAAACTCTGCAGCGGGGGCTTTTTAACATAGCAGGAGCTTCAGCAACAGAGCACGAGCTCAGCTACATCGATTTACAACAGCATGAATAATTCACAGTGATGAATATGACGGTTAATAATTCATGAAGGGTGGTGAAGTGGGTTGACACATTAGCCCATTGCTTTATAGTGAAATATGTCTCTAATATTCTGTTGAACATTAGACACAGGAAAGAGGCATTTCTTGGACTATCTGTCTGATCCACCATGGCAGTCGGATCTGGATGCCATGAGTCTCATGTTGAGCCTTAAATGAGCCGTGAGATGGTTTCAAATTCTTTCCAGCTTCACACACTGGAGAAAAACTCTGGTGTGTGCAGTGTTTAGGCTCAAAATCTACAGTCAATTCATGAACAGTTCATACTGATTTTATGAGAAAAACATTGCCTCTAAGAACATGGAAACCACAAAATATTAGGAATATTGCTCACATAAACCTTTTAAACAACTCATGCTGCATCCTTTGTTAAGCTGCGTGGGTAGAACCCGAAAGTTTGTTCTGTTCTAGCACCTATAAAACCAGATCGATTATGTGTACCTCTTTGAGTGACCATGCTCTCCATTTCAAAATGTCTGAACTCTGAACAATGAGATACAGTCATAAATTTCTGACTTTAAGTGTTTGACGTCTACCGACCAACATAGTGAAGTTTGTGTGTGGGTGGATGTTGTCTATTGTACCAACCTGACGCATTTGCACTTATTGAAATTAGCTGCTGACTGCCCGTTAATTTCTCCACCTACATTTCTCCCTTTTTAAAATGGAAATATTCAGTCTTCACAAAGTAACAGGGTCGGCAAAATGCACATAATTAGAGAAAAGTAGCATGGAAATTCTAAAGCAAAATGAGTACCTGACATGAGTCATTTCATTACATTTCTATGCAACTAAACTTGACTTCGGTTTTACCTCCGATGGCCAGTTTAAATACGATCGCAGCACTCTTCTGATGCTCTGCTCTCTCATCCCTGCAGTGAAGTCACATGTCAGGGTCACCTTCCCTGCTCGTAGCCAGCACTTTTCCCGTCCCTGCCATGGAGTCCTGTCAAGCAATGACAAATGTCAAGCGACTGTATATCCACCTGTTCGACCTTTTTCCTGAAATGTTTGGTCCGTCCTGCCGCCTCCCCGCTCCCCTGCAGGAGGTGATTGATGCTGTGGTGAGGGCTGCCGGGGCCTCGGCAGACCACCTGATTCAGAGTGAAGGACGGGACGTCCAGCTGGAGGAGAGCCTCGACCTGCACCTGCCTTTCCTGCTACCAGAGGGAGGATACTCCTGTGACACCGCCAGAGGAATCCCACACGGGTTCAGAGAGTTTCTGGAGCCAATTTGTCAGAGAGGTATCCGAGGCTGACTTCGCGTGCCAGGGTCGAATTTGCGTTTAACCCTTAAATGAGTTGTCAGCGTTGGTATTTTATCACATTTTGCTCTCGCAGGTCTTTGCTCTCTGGCATCTGAGCCCAACTCCAAAGGTGATTGGACCGTGCACTTCAGTGACTCTGCTCCTTCTGATGCGGGGATTTACTTGGTAAGGAAGCAGAAGCAGTTGTGTATTAAAATGTCAGGTAAACATCTAAACTATATATATTTTTTTTTCAAATAGGCAGCAGAGAAGCAGCCAGAAACCGAGGTCATAACATTGCACAAACCTCTGAACAGCGGAATGGGAGTTAGCATAGTTGCTGCCAAGGTGACTGACTAAAAGTTGGCAATATATTCTGATAAAAGCATGAAAAAATATCCAGGCAGAGGTTCAATAAATCTACATCCCATCCTTTTTGCCACAGGGATCAGGGCAGGGTATCCTTGGGATCTACATTAAATCTGTAGTCAAAGGAGGACCAGCTGAAATGGTGAGAGCATAGTGTATTTTAGATCTGGTTGCACTCAAGAAGTGACACAGAATAATTCCCCTCATACATTACACTAAGAAATGTTGGGCTACACAGTGTGTGTCTTTTCCTAAATGCAGAATGGGAGGTTAGCGGCAGGAGATCAGCTCCTCAGTGTGGACGGCCACAGCCTGGTGGGACTGAGCCAAGAAAGGTAAGAGGCCGAGTATTTTTCCCAGCATCATGCGGCCTCAGTTGTACAGAATACAAGGCTTTCTAACAAATGTAACGATCCAACTAGTCCTACAAGATTGGGACACAATTATATTGACAGAAAATGTTATTCTAAAATGAAAACAATTACAGTTTAAAACTATTCAAACTACTCATATAGGAAACATTAAAAAATGTCATTTTGACTGCTAAAACTAGAAATGTCACATCAGGTTGATTTTATACCTTTCTGACCCAGTTGGGTTACACCGATAAAGTAAAGCAATGGTGTGGGCATTCAGGAAAAGACTGAAAAAAAATAAATTAGCAGCACTGTCTGCATAAATCTAAAATGCTTTGGAAAATGACAGACTGAGGGAAAACATGTCCACTATCTTTGTCTTTTTACTGTGTGAACAATTACTGTGGAGCGCTTCAGTCCAAAATGGCTTCCCTAACCTTATTATTCTTGCTTTTATGCAGGGCAGCAGCCATCATGATGCAGACTGGCCCTGTTGTGACCTTACAGGTTGCAAAGTGTGCAGCGAGCTACCATGGCCTTGGGGCCCTGCTGAGCGCACCAACCATGGAGACAACTACAGGTAAGCACATATAATTCAATAAATCTTTTAATGCATTTATTTTTGGCTTCATGCCCTTTGCTACCTTAATCTTCCAAAAGACCTTCTGTTACATCAGGACATGCCCGTGCCATGTTGTGTTGTAGGTCTCCACCTGTCAGAGGGGTTCCAAGGAGGCAACAAAAGAAAGAAAGAGCAGATGTGGCAGAGGAACAGACAGCTGTACCGCTCCAATCCCAACATGAACGGTGAGCCAACTTCATGTTTTGGTCACTTACTTGCCGCTGGGGCCACGGCACGTGGATTCCTCAATGATCTGCTATACATTTAATGCACTAGGATGAGCCAGAGAACAGGTCTGGTCCTGTTATTTTTCTGCTTGCTCCAACAGTCTTCTGCCTAGAGGATGGCGATCAGCTTGCCGAACATGATGCGAGAGGAAACAACGTCCCTTCTGTTTCCCATACCAACCTTTCCAATGATGTGAGATTCCATGAGGTTCCTTATTATTCAGATTTCAGATGTTTGGCAGATACTAAGGAAAAGGAAATGAAGATGGTATTATGTTGACATTGGTAAAAAATGTCTCTTTTAGACAAAACTTCTCATTTGAGCTCTTGTGGAACATTCCTTGACAGTGAAATACACATTATATAAGCAAATACAACCCAGTCAAATGACTAAAACAGAATGAAAAAGGGAAAAAACTGCAGCTTATTGAATGAAATGGAATATCTTTAACGGCTTTTCGGTCACCCGTGGAGTGATGCTCAATTTCTTTTTATTTCCAGACATTCTACAGAGAATACCTGACACTTCCAAACCCAAAGTCCAAGGACAGGGGACTGTGTAACATCAACCTACCACAGCAGAACCTCGAAACGTCTTTGACACCATTAGATGGACAGAGCTCCAGTAAGAGAACCTTCATGGTATGTCTTACCTCAGGCATAGAGATAGTCACTTGCTCAACTTATTGCCCATCAAATAAAAAACACATTTGTGCTGATAAATAACATTAAAACCACTGCATTTCCCCATAAAGCGTCAAGCCCTGTCGCAGGACAACTTGTGCTTGGACAGTGGAGGCCCCCTAGTGGACAAAAGGCAGAGAGACCAGGAGGCTAAACAAACACCAGGCTACTCATCTTTCCCAATACGCTCAAGTGTTTCCACTCACGACATCCTCTCCCATACCAGCTCTCCCACGAAGCAGCAGCAGGGCAGCCGCGCCAGTGCTGCCGGTGTCTGGAGAGCGCCTTTTTCACAGCTGTCCACGCCCGCACCTTCAGTCCAGCCCATTCGAATCGACATCCCTGTAGTCAGAGCGGTGAACGCGCAGTCCAAGCCTCCGCTCACCACCTTCCAGCACCGTTCCTCTGTAACGAGCCAAACCGTGAGGGTCGGTGGACACAAACCTAGTCCTCAGAGCCAAGTCAGCCATGTTTCTGCGCGGCCAGCATCTCAGGGGCAGCAGCAGCTAAGTTCCATCCAGGGCAGAGACAAAGCGGGAAGACCCCAGGTGAGCATCACTCCAACGAAGCACGTTTCCTTCCAAGAGACTTCCCCCGAGCAGAAGAGGAGCACTGGGCCTGTGAGGCACAGAGAGCCTCAGGAGCTGGGGGATCCGTGGAGGCGGGAGGCCCAGGAGCTGCTGGTGAAGAGGCACAGGCTGCAGGCGGTGGAGCACCTGGAGCAGGAGGTGCACACCCTTCAGGCCAAGGCCCGGCGCACCATAGAGGAGAACGACAGGCTGCGGAGGCTCAGCCTGGAGTGGCAGTTTCAGAAGAGGTTAAAGGAAATTCAGCAGAGGGGGGAGGATGAGGAGGAGGACGAAGATTTGGAGGTGATGGTGACCCTGCAGCAGCTGGAGAGCAGAAGCCCCCAGGCCGAGGTTAGTGCGCACTAACGCGCTTCACACGTCTCTGTTTGGGCAGCCCGGCTTTTACGTGCATCAGTTGACCTAATTTTTAGAAAAATGTTTTATGACCGTTCATTTTTGTTTAGGCCAAGAGAAACTCCGTCAGGAACGACAACCTGGAACAAAAAGGAATGGAAAAACAGGAGGGGTATCACACAACCCAAGAGACAAGCTCGGCAAAAAGAGGTAACAAAGCCCAAGGAAAAAAAATAAAATAAAAAGACAAGCAAATGTGCTACTATTAGTTTAATTTGATTCAAGTGTATCCGACATTTCTTTGATTTGATATTCTCATTATTCACATTCTTTTTTAGAGCTAAGAGGTAATGTAGCCAAACAAGATGTCCACAACATGGCAACAAAAGAGTGAGTGTACAGTTTAAAGCCTCACAGCATTTACATTATAGTTAAATGTGTTTTTTAACACCAAGCGGAATCCTCCTCCACCATGTCTACAATGTCATCACGAAAAGAAAAACATGTACCTTTGCTTGAAAACACAGGAGAAAACGTCCCTGAGTTAAACTAGTCTGCAGACCTGAAATTCAAGTATTTCTGATGTTATGTTTTCTCCTTTTGGCAGAAGTCCGGAGGGGAAAATAAAGAGAGGATCAGCACCTGAAAAGCTGCCGTTTAGGGAGCGTCAGCGACTCTTTTCCCTGCCGTCCAGCACGTGAAGGCAGGTTCAAGAACTCTCAGCGGGGTGTAAAAATAAAAGAACAATTTGCCAGCCAACTGATGACGTATGCTACCATATTTTAGGCCACAAGCATGTGTTTAACTTAGAATTCCGCAAATTTGTACTTTTAACGGTTTAAAGACTCTTTCCTGTATATCCCTGTCGTCTTTTAATTAAGAATTCAACTATGTTTGGGCGTTCTGCCTTCAATAAAAGCACAACTTGAGTCCCTTGAGGTTACTTTGTGCGCTGGTAAAACTGAACCACGGCCTTCTCTTGTTCCTGGGTCTCGATGGAGCCGCGCCTTATTCTGCGGATCTCGTTGATTGCATCAATCCCAGCAATCCGCCTCGTCTTCACCAGGTAGCAGGCCAGCATGGTCCCTGTTCTGCCGTGGCCGTGCATGCAGTGCACAGCCACGCCCTGACAACAAACACAACAACCTTTATTTGCTTTAGCCTTTTGTGGAGAGGCACGCACCCTCGCTTTGGCTCACAGGAGGACGGGCCTCCGTTTACTAAGCGGAAGCAGCCTTAACGGGGATGCAAGGGCCTTTGTTTGAATTTACAAAACAAGCAATGGCAAGAAAAATCTTTTTAGTTAACCTCTTGAAGAAGTCAAATAACTGGTAGAACAAGTGTGAAAAGCAGTGACTCACAAAGAGCACAACATTAAAATAAGACTAGAACTCACAGTGTTTTTCTTATCTACTATGGTGTCTGTGATGAAGGCTTTGACAGATTTGTTGTACCTTCATATGCACTTAACAGCACACAGTTCTTTAATGAGACCTCCTGCTAATATTACTGACCACAGTGTGACCAGCTGTGGTCACACTTACCTCGCCCTTGGCATTGGCCTCTTCCACTATGGAGAGAAATCTATCAATCTGACTTGGTGTAGGGGGAGTGAAGTCCACTATCTTGATATGGTGAAGCTGGAGCTCGGGGCACGTGTCGTGGTTAGGCGGTTTCCTCTCGCACAGGCAGACCAGGTGTTTGATGCCATTGTCCAAAAGGAACTGGTATTCACAAGTCATCCTGGGCATCGCTAGTCCAGCCAGTTTGCCTGGCTCCACCCAGGAGAAGTTGTGCGGGGCGGAGGAGGCCATCGGTGTAAGGCTGATGAGAAGAAACAGGGTTATTTTGAACCAGCCCCTTAATGGAGCAAATCACTTTTAATTGATTCGATTTGCTTGTGATTTAACCTCCATCTTGGCTGGCCGTTTGTAACTGGAGAAATATCAGCGGGTCAGACCAACCCCTCAGAAACTATAAAACCTCACACAAAGTGCAAAATAGGCCACGTAACACACCGTTAAGTCCACGCAGGACAGGGCCAGGCCTTTCTCAAAAGTGTAGTGGAGAGCAACCTGAGAGCACTTAAAAATATCTGACCCTTTGGACTCTCTGGTGGCTCCCACAAATGCGGGATCTCCCGAGATTCTCGCGACGTTTCGCCAACGAATGTCGGTTCGGTCTGTGAAAACTGACCGTCCGTGTCGGGTTCAAATGCAAACCGATAGGCATAATTCAACAGCCACTGGTGACGGTTTCACCGCAGGGTGCTAATTCCGAACAACCCACCGGGGTTTTCGATTCTCAACATCTTCATAATAACTAAGTATCGGAGGCAATACGTCTATTCAATTGCAAAGCTAGAATACCAAGTGTTTCACTCAATGATTTCCTTCAAAAGACATACCAATACGTATTAAAAATAACAAAAAACCTAACCGGTGCGTACAAGAAAGCATTAGAAAACATTTACAATTCAGTTATCTTTGAAAAAACACCTCAAACTTTGCAATTTCGAGCCGGTCTTGTGTCAGGTCAGCATACCCCGACAGACCAGCATGCCCAGCGAACACTTGGAGAAGCCTACAGATCGCCATACCTTTCGAAAAACACCAACAAATAAGTCATTAAATTATTTTTTGTACATAACAAAAGGTATACACACCTGTTGAGGTAGTTTACAGTGTATTTTTCGTACAAAACTAAAGGGATACTCGCGCGTTGAGGTAGTTTATAGTGTATTTACAGAAGGGTCTAGCTACACCTGCAGCCATCTACAAAACGCATCCCCTTACAAAACACATCTCCCGCCCAGCCAATCGTTGATTTTGATTTGGACATTACGTCATCTTGGATACAGATTTCTGCTAAAGGGTATGGGTATGCTGGTCAGACGGGGGCATGGGTCAAGCGAAAATCTGACGTCATGCGCATGCGTATTGACTATGGGTATCCTGGTCTGTCGGGGTATGCTGACCCGACAGAACACCTGACATAAGCTTGTACCAAGACTCAGCCGAGACACTTAGTGGTCTTCCGCAAATAAATAAAGGCAGTTATATCAATATCTTGGGGGGGAAATACTCACAAAGGTACTCACAGTGTATGAGGAGAACCAGGTGCTGGGGGGCTGCTTGTGGAGCCAGCTAACTTCCACTGGTGGTGCTCTCCAACTACATTTTTCCGTCAGATTTAGAGGCTTAAATTCGTTCCATAGCTTGGGCGTGTTGCAGTACTGGGTGCAGCACCTGGCCGCCGGTCAATACGGTTAGGTGCTGTCGTAAAAGAAAAAAAGATGTTAATACATCTAACAGCGTCGTTGAAAAAGTAGAATTGAATGTGCTACAGTTTTCTAGTGATGTGTCCCTTCGTATCGAGGCTTCGAAGCGCGTGTCAAGAAATCCAGGATGATTTCTGTGAAGTGCGTATCGAAGCATTTGTGTCGATTACGTATGCGGTGACGTTTGAAGCCTCGCGAACCTGCCGTACCACGTGACTGATTCAGGGAGTGGTTCGCGGTTTGCCGGTGTTGTGCGAAAAAGTGAATGTTTGCGAGAATCTGATTGTGTAGCCCTGACATTGGAGACTACACTACAATAAATATGATTCACTGGAGGGTTTTCAATAAAGATATGATAACTTTTGCAAC